AGCAAGTCGGCCAGTGATGTGGTTTGGCCTTCTATAGTCGAGATATCTCCCATAAAACGGCAGGGGTTCGACCCCTGGCCGTTGATGGCGAGGTGGACCCCTAACAGCATGTTCCGCAAAAGAGCGAGACGAAATTCTCAGTGTGACAACAGGATGTAACTGTTCAGACCAAGGAGATGGAAAAATAGCTTATTTGTCCATTTCCAGGTTCGACAACAGATGCTATAACTGTTTGGCACAGTTTGCCCACAGCTCCACCTGAATAATTATTCACACTCCTCGTGCCACGCTGGTGTGGTGGTCCCCAGGTTGCCGACGAATAGCTAGACAGAACACTTCCAGTTACGAACCAAGCACTCAGTGTAATGAAACTGTATAAAGAAATGTAATCTTAGTGTGCAGCCGAGCCATTCGCCCACTCTTCATTCCACAAGAATTACGTCATGGTACGATCACACTTTGAAATTACGCTCGACTGAACGCTTCCAGCCACGAAGCTATTACGGTGTGTGTTCATACAGTAACACGATTTCATAAAACAAACGCTAGCCTTCAACTCTACAAGAACAGTACACGTATTGTTTAGAAGAACTCTATATGCAACAACACGTGACTTTATATCATTCGTCCACTGTCCACATTCTAGTAGTAGCCAACGATAAACTCTAGACTCAACATCCGGTGTTACCGTGACTTGCACAAGTGTCGTCATCAGCAACTTGCATTCAGGGGTATCCAGAACGTATGAATTCTTGCACAGAAACAAGAAACTGGGAAAATTCTTCTTTGGAGTCAGTGCAAAAATTTTAACATGTTTTATACAATCTGTAAATTACAATATCTGATTCTATATTCTTTAGAGAAAAAAACAGCGTTTATTTCGTTCGTTTATCACAGAAATTGCAGAAATAGGAGCAAATTTAGTAAGTGACTACAGTTTTTACGGATTTCTAATCGCGGGTATTTAAATATATTGCGTACGGCTGCCTTTACCGGAATTTAAATGCCCGTAGGATAAGCGTTAAATTACAAGCAGGTAGCTTGGCTATTTCGAAAGGGAAGGGGTGGGATTTTCCTGCATTGCTTTGACCACCACAGATGAAAGTAGCATCAGAGGGTTGGTCTTAATAGAAGTCTCTTCAGTTAATGTGTTGCTCTTTAATTTAATAGCCTGCATCAAAAAAGTGTTTGTGTACTGAAAACGCCTAAAGAAAAGTGCAGCAGTAAATATTTAAAAATGTGGTGGGTGTCGGTTAGTAGTGACTATTCAACATACGGTGTCGTCGTGTACTGTGAAGTGTGCGCAAAGGAAGTAAAATCTGAAAAGAAATTTCAACTTTAACAACACTCAGGAATGACTGCACATATTACGGCAAAGAAGGGGAAGAATAACAGCACACCACAACTACTTCTTGCACAGGTCAAACCCAAATCCTCTGTTAATACATTTTCAGCCAATCTTTGTAAGGCTTTAGTATGTGGCAACATTCCATGGAATAAATAAAGCAATCCAGTTCTGCGATATTTTCTGGAGAAATATTGTGTAATTAAAAAAATTCCAGATCAATCAACTCTTAGAAAAAATTATCTACCTTTGCTTTATGAATCTACTCTGGAGTTAATCCATTCTGACATTGGAGAGGACTGTGTCTGGATATTGGTGGATGAGACAACCCATTTATGTGGCCGATGCATAGCAAATTTTGTAGTTGGTAAGCTACATCCAGACGAACCCGTGAATCCTCATCTTCTTGCTTGCAGAGTACTAGAGAAAACCAACCATAGCACAGTAGCAAGATTTGTAAATGATTCTCTGCGACCACTATGGCCATATGAAATTGAGGAATAATTGTTGTAAGGTGCTTGTAATACTCACAGATGCAGCTTCCTATATATTGAAAGCAACAAAGGCCTTACAAGTATTTTATCCAAATCTTATACACATAACCTGTTTAGCACATGGGTTACACCATATTGCAGAAAAAATATGCGCACAGTTTCCAGCTGTTAACGATTTAATTGCAAGTGGGAGAAAACTATTTCTGAAAGCACCAGCTGGTGTCCAGTTCTACAAAGATTGCCTACCTCATGTTCCTCTGCCACCTGAACCTGTCCTAACTAGGTGGGGGACATGGATATCAGCAGTTTCATTTTATCAGGAGAATTTCAATCAAGTAAAAGAAGTGGTTACCAAACTTGAAGATGAGTATGCATGTGTCCGTGAAGCAAAAGTGGTGTTTGGAAGTGATACTGTTTATCAAGTTGTGAATGTTATCCATGCACATTTTTTCTGCAATTTCAAAAGCCATTGAGATCTTAGAATCTTGTGGTGCACTCCTACATGACTCACTTGAACTCGTTCAGAAAGCAACTTGTTCACTGAATTCCGCTCCAGGCGAAATTGGAGAGAAGATTAAATTCAAGTTAGAAAAGGTGTTGAAATCGAACCCAGGACTAAAAAAAATCAGTCAATTAGTCAGTACTTGAGTGGAATTAGGGTATCTTTTCCAGACGAATGTTCCGAACCTTCAACGCCAGTGTATAAATACTGTCCAATCACATCAGTTGATGTAGAAAGATCATTCTCAGCCTATAAACTCATTTTGATGGACAATAGATGCAGTTTGTCTCCAGAAAACACTGAAAGACTTCTTCTAGTTGCCTATTGTGATGCTACTTTCTGCAGTGAATGATAAATGTAAATAGGTGAGTCTGAATAAAGTGACCTGTTTCTTAAGTGCATATTGTTTTATTTTTGGTGTATATTTTCCCGCTTTGTAGTGCATATTTTAAGTGTTTTTAGCGCATAAAGATCCGGGCCCTAGTAATAAGTTATTCATTTTGAAGAGTCATCTGAAGAGACATCGGTGCATACATGTTGATGTGTGCAGTAAATCATAGAGCAGCAGAGATGGGTATAGACTAAAAGAACAGTATGTGACTTGTAGCATGCCCCAGTTTTCATGTTGTAAGTGAGACAGCTTTGATGTTTGTGGCATGCTTCAGTTTGTAGAATGCTACAATATATTGGAGTTGATTGCCGTTGATAACCTTTCAAACTGACAAGAAATGAACTGAGTCCCATGGTACAAAACATCTGTGCAAATGAGTTCCATTTGATTCTGATTGCTGAATGTGCGCAATGCCCTGTCTTGTTGAGTGGAAACAGATATGACATGACATGACATGACATTCTCCTTCAGTTACGATGATAATTCAGCACTGGAAGCTAATTATTAGTAGAGTGTAGCACTGAAATGGATCGACAGCTTATAATTCAGCATATCATATGCTTTTTGCTGTACGTTATCTTTGCTCTTCTGCCATTACAAGTGAGTAAATTTGTTGATCAGTTAGTTTCAGATTGATATATCGCTTGGATTGAGTATATTGAGATAACTGTTACGGATTGGTCAGATGAATACAAACTACACTATATTGGACATTGAAGACAGATGTATTTTTGCGGGATACTTGGTATATTGATTATAAAAGAAAGTTTAACCCCTTGAGCGTGACTTTAAGCAGAGCCATTTAAATCCCTAAGCGTGTGTGGCACAACATCTGCATCCTCTCAAACCCATGCTCTAAGCGTGCGCGTCCCATATGTTGAGTCCAAAATTCTTAATGCCTACACTCTGATGTATGTAATTCCAGTGAATGTATGTGTGAGCTAATACTGACTTCTTTCATTCCTTGCTATCTGTTTGTGTCTGGTATTTTTTTTTACTCGCGTTGCTTGCTACAAAGCATCTGCTGTCTGCTGCTTATGAAAGAATTGTTCCCACTCACATTCCGACTTGCTTTCAGAGAGATAATTTGTTAGCTAACTTTCATTGAATGCTTGTTATCTGTGTTTGTGTGTCAGTATTTTTTTTTTACTGGCTTGGCTTACTGGTGACAAAGCAGCTGTGTCTGATTGACAACGTTACGAACCTAGTGGTCGAAGTTGCCTGACGCCTGTGTCAATATTTATGAATTTGTTATCTTTTTCTGCCTTGCGACACTCTCTTAGTGGAGCCCCATGGCATCTCGGTCACGTGACTTGTCTGGCAGGACAGTTTCTTGCCCCTGACACAAAATCATATTTCAAAAGTGGGTTCCCACAACTTCGAATGAAATTAGGGTATTCCTAGGTTTGCTTATGCTAATGGGAATTCAGAAACCAAACCTCAGACTGTATTTTAGTAGGAAACATATGTTAGAATCACCATATTTTCCCAATGTAATGAGTGAAGAAAGGTTTTCATTGCTGACCAGATTTCTCCATTTTGTAGATAACACCAATAAGGAAATTGTATAATTCTTCCAGTTAGTGAATATTTGAAAAAGGAGTTCCAGAAAGTGTGCATACCGGGCAAAGAAGTAAGTGTCGATGAATCTTTGTTATTGTGGAAAGGTAGACTTTCGTGGAAAGAGTATATTCATATGAAAGCTTCCCGGTTTGGGATTAAAATTTTTGAACTTTGTGATTCCGCAGGATATTTGTGGAATTTTATAATTTACAGTGAATGAGGGACAAAATTAGGCTGTGAAATCACCAAAGACACAGATCTTTTCTCAACAAAAGTTGTTCTAAGTTTGTGCGAGAAACTATTAGACTCGGGCAGATGTGTTTGTATGGACAATTTTTATAGCAGTCCCGATCTTTTCCAGAGATTAGTTCAGAGCACAACAGATGCTGTTGGAACAGTGAAAATCACGCGCAAAGGTATGCCAATAGATCTAAAAAAGAAACTGAAGAAAGGAGAAGTAGTTAGTGCAATGTGTGGGAAATTGATGGCGTTGAAGTGGAAGGATAAGCGCGATGTCTCGGTGCTGACTAATAAACATTCAGAGGAAATGCAACCCATAAGTCGAAAGGGTGGGTTAGAATTTGTAAATAAACCTATGTGTGTAATAGAGTATAATAAATATATGGGAGGTGTAGACTTGAAAGATCAGCTGCTAGAAACATTCTTGCTGGAAAGGAAAAGGCAAAAAGCATGGTACAAGGAATTATTCAATCACTTAGTAAATACGGCAGTGTTGAATGCTTACATTCTGTACTGCAAGGCTGGTAACAAGAAAGATCATCTGTTATTAAGAATAAACTTTGTAGCGTCTCAAATTTGAGATTCGAGATTGTAAGGTATTACCCAAATGTTCGAGACTTGCGAAAAGTGTGTTACAGCTATTACAGTAATATGTCAACACCTGGACTGGCAACTAGGTTAAGAATGTTGATGATCAGCATTTATGCGTAACCGCACTAGCAAGAAGCTTGCCCCACTAGGCCACTGGAGTATCGTAATATTACCGCATAAACAGCGATGAGACGCCATGGGCCCGCCCACAACCATCAATAATAACCAATTAGAATATTACTTTGGGAATTGAGGACACTGAGGAGTTAACTACCCTCTGTCGTCAACAGCTGAATTAGCAAATTAAAACTATAAATTACTGAATTTCGAGAGACTTTGGAGTCTGATCTAACAGAGAATATTGAGTTGTCCGCCGGAGGCTCTAGTTGACATGTGTGCCACAAGATGGTGGATGGCGGCAGTAATCTACATTTGTATTACAAGTAAGTCTCTTTGCTCATATACGCCATGCTGTTAAACGTTAATGTTGATAAAAGTGTGGTTGTGTGATCTTGAGACAGTCTCCAGTGTACCCAGCGAGAGCCAGGGTAGAATAGGGTAGAAATGAACAGAGAGTGACAGATGATGATAGGAGTACAGTTTCAAGGTACCTCCCCCCACCGACAAGGAAGGTAGAAAGAGCTTAGCGAGAAGTGTCATGTAAGCAGGCCAAAGCAGGCCCTTTTCTTAATGTAAATATTAATGTAAATAGACAGTGTACCTAGGATAGGATGTACGCAGGAAGTTTTGATTCACCCCTTCCTAACCAACCGTCCACGTCTGATCCCGAGCAACCAGACCAAGACAGCCGACGGCAGCCGAGTGCAGCGAAGATTTTAGAAGAAGAGTAGCAACAGACCAAATTAATTATATTTTCTCACCCCCTCCCCCTGAGGTGTAACAAACTTAGTGAATAAGATCATAGCAAAGTCCCATGGACAGAATTTAGAAAAGCGCAAAGGGCGTCCTTCAGATACCGACATTGGAATTTAATTGAAAGGATCATGAAAAACTTGCTTACATCTTTTCATTGTGAATATCAGCAGGGAAACTAAGTGGTCTGTCTTTAGATCAAGAATGATAGTGGTTTGGCACTGGGACACTCCTTTGCCTTAGAGGGAAAGAGTCAACTGAAAATTGTGAAATATTTTTTAATAAAATTAGGCAATGTCATTAATATTATTAATTGGAATTCAGAGGTTTCATATAGTGGAATGACAAGAATATCTTTTAATTGTACTTAAATTCAGTGCAGATATGCCCCTCCCTCCATAGCAGTTTTCTTCACTGCCTGAATGAGCTGCATCATAACTGAAGCTAATTCTTGGTCATGCTGAGCAAGTGATCTCTGATTACTCACACTTTTCTTATCAAGGAACGCTTGCTTCATTTTGCATAAGATGTACCATACATTCTCTTCCTCATGTCTCCACACGTTGGCTGTCGCTGCATCACCAGAACTTATCCTGCTCCATGGTCCTGGAAAATGTGTTCCATTTTGTGTGTCTTCACCATATAAAGTAGTGGGCAGCACACAAATGGAATTGCAAGTTGCAGTTGTCCTCAGAAAAGTGTGAAGGTAGGCTGATGCTGTGTATTCTGTATGCTTAAGGAAGGACTATGGAATGAAATCATCTGGCTCTGGATAGGGGCCAGTGTCTGGCTGTGAATGATAATGAACCTTTGCAGTCTATAACATGTTGGTAATTCATTGAGTAGCTGAGCAACTAGTAGCTTCTCTGGAAAGGTGTAGCTGAGTATTTGACATTAGAACTTCTAGATTGATTGTCTGGAACTGGCATTTGTTGTTGACCCCATCCTGCTGAAGCAACCCAAATGAGTCTCCGATGGTCAGTAAGTCTGGGTTCTCCTGTTATATACATTGGGGTAGTACAGTATGCTATGTATATACTGTACCTGAGGGCAGTGACTCACATCCAGCCAGTCAGTTTACCAAACCCTGTATTGCCACCAGACTGAAGCAAATCTTGTCTTCTTTCAGGAAATGTACTTTTTCAGTATGTTTTTCTTTTCAGTTTACTAATATGTAAGTAATTCCAGGGAGCTGAGATAGTAAACATGACGTCATCTTTTTTCCTTGTATCCTATGCGATGTTCTTAAAATGAATCTCGGATATGAGCTGCTGGTTACAGAAATGTAAATTTTATAGGTAATTTTTGTAATTTTTAGGTTTAAGGTCATTTTTTCGTTTTTGGGCTTTTAAGGGTATTTCTTGTCATTTTTGGCCATTTTAGGGAATTTTTCTTCATATATTTTTGGAAATATGAATAATATGGAAGCAAAGTGTTCTTTCTCTTTCTCCTAACCGCTCTCTAGAAAGGCCATAGTATACAATAATAGGCTGTAATCCTGGCCCGTCCTTTCAGTTTGTTTTGCGGAAGTGCTGACAATACATATCATGGAACGGTATGGCGATGACTACTCACACTGCGGCTCTTTGTACAAAGCAATTTGCTTAGTTGCATATATTTCTAGTTGGAATCTCTTGCTTCATATGACATTGTTGTTCAATAAAACTCCTGTCTTCCGTTCCTCACCCTTGACCTTACAGATAAAGATACAGTTGACGAAAGGTTCTCGGTGAGAAAAGTTCAGTTCTATGTTGCGCTAGAGTGATTAATTTTATCATGATGCCAAAAGCAAAGACAAATAAATCGTGTCATTTATAGCAATTTGTAGCTGAGTTTGGAGATGATATATTTTCGACTGACGGTGACATTTTATACTGCAAGATGTGTGACAGAAGTAGGGGCAGAAAAAAGATTCATGGTACAACGTATCGGCCGCAACAAGCATATACGAGCAGTGCAAATTTCGAACAAAGAGAAACCTCTGCAAATATTACTGCAACAGTTTCATCTGGAGGTGGAAATAAGTCATCAGATGTTTTCAGAGATCTGTCTGATGCTTTGGCGTCCGCAAATAATCCATTTTGGGCTCTTAACAATGGAAAACTGAAAAATTTTCTGGAAGTAAACTCTGGTCATTCCATCCTGGATGAATCCACACTCAGCACTACAACAGTATCATGAAATGATAAGGAATAAAGTGCATAGGAAGAAGATTTTCATTTCCATTATTGAGACCTGCGATACAGATGCTCGCTGCGTGGCAAACGTCATCATTGGAACCTTGGAAATTGGCAGACCAGGTGAAGTGTTTCTGCTTACGAGTGAGGTGCTAGAATCTGTTAATTATTCCACAATTTATAAACTCTTCGACAGGTCGATGTTCCTACTGTGGCCAGAGGGTATACGAAACGACGTCTTGCTTTTTGTGACTGATGCAGCTCCATATATTGTAAAAGCAGGCAAGTCAATAAAGTCGTTTTATACAAAATTGGTGCATGTTACTTGCCTAGCATATGCACTGCATAGAGTGGCAGAGGAAGTGAGATCAAGATTTCCTCAAGTGGATGGTCTCGTGTCGAGGATGAAGAAGATTTTCGTCAAGTTTCCAGCTCATAAAATGTATTTTAAGTCTATGGCTCCTGGTGTTCCCTGCCCCTTGAACCCATCATTACAAGGTGGGGAACGTGGACTGATGCTGCAATTTACAATTGTGATCATTTTCGGGTAGTGAAAAACATTGTAGATTCAATGAAGACGGAGAATGCGAGGGCAATTGAAGCTGCTCAGGAACAGTCCTCATGCATCGAAATGGAAGGACAGCTGGCCTTCATAAAGGCAAATTTCAGTTACTTGACAGAAGGAATCCAATGCTTGCAGGAGATATTCTGACATATTACATTTTTGGGTGATATTTTAAGCCATTTCTCTGGATTTTTTTCTGTCATTTTATAGGTCATTTTTTAAATATTTTCAGGTCATCAAAATCCGGGCCCTCGTAATCTTTCATGGAAGATGTTATTTTTGAGACCTCGCTTCCCACTAGCTCAGAAACTGTTTTAATGTATATAAATTTTACGTCACATTGTGAACACATGCTGTGCATAGTGAAACAGCCGCTTGGTGTAGCTGATGCAGCAGAAGACAATGCAGAGCCATGTGGAAAGGATGGATGAGGAGACCTCGGGGAATAAGAAATGTGACTGAGAAAGCAGATGGGCAGAACGACAGTGAGACTCTGAATGTGACGTAGAAGCCTGTACCTTAACTGAAGGAGAAGAAAAATATATTTCTGACTGCTTCATTCACCAAAATTCATAATTTAAACTTGGTATTGTATATCACTCAGAATCACTTGTTTGGTTTTCGGATTGTGTTCACTGTTTGGTGTTCAAGAAACAAGAGAATGTACTATTTCAGGATCTGGGTCTGTTTCAGTCCTCTCGGGGGGGGGGGGGGGGGGGGGTGGNACTCTGCTGGGTCCGTTAGAAAGAACAGGACAATGGACAAAGTCAAAAAATCCAGTGATTCTAGAAACCTTTAGAATCTACAGGTATCCTACAAGTGTGTGTGTGTGTGTTCTTGCGAGCCTGTGTTATTTAGGGTTTATTTTACAGAGGTCTTAATATTTTTGGCTACATAGCATCGGTTGAAAAAATGCTTGATAAGTGGTGAACTTCGAACAATTTGAAACAAAGCAGTTGTTACATTTTACCCTGCAGCAACTAAAGAATAACCTGGAAAGGGTCAGTCGGTACAGCCAGTCACCCCCCTCCCCCCAGATAAGTGAATGGTTCACCTTCTGGATACTAAACTGGATAAATTGTTTCATGTCTGTTATGCTCGTTGTTGAATTGGATGAGGAAGC